GACAGGGTCTCCCTGTAGCCCCAGCTGTCCTGGAACTCACTATGTAGACCGGGTTGGCCTTGAATTCACAAAGATCTGCCTGCCTCTGCCTCCTGAGTGCTGGGATTAAAGGCGTGCGCCACCACGCCTGGCTTCCTGTGGTAGGTTATGCCCCACAGGAGTGAACCTTTGCATTGTCCTTTCCTCCTAACAGGCCAGCAGTCCTCAGGACCTGCGTCTGTTTTATGAGAAGAACAAGACACTGGTCCCTGTGTAAGCTGCCCTCCCTGTTCTACTGGATGGGTCTACCCCAGTACTCTCCTAACTCTGCTCAGCCCTACCTTCTCTTGTTTCCAGCATTCCACGAGAGACGTCGGCTCCTCTGCGGCAGCTGCTCCTGGCTCTGTTGCAACGCAACCACAAGGACCGAATGGATTTTGGTGAGCTCCTACATTCTATCTCCCTCAGCCACTGGTCCCTTGCATCCCCACTTGAGCTTAAGCACTGCCTATGGCTACCCTTACATTGTGTGGCCTGAGTGGGCAACCAGGACTTACAGCCTACCATCTGCCATCAGCCTCTAGGATCATAATACATCCAGCTTACCCACCCTCCAGCAAGGCCAACAGAGGGGAGCCTGCTGAGATGGCCATATGTGCTCAAGAGCCACCATCTGGGGCTACAATTCTGTGCCCAGGTGGCTGGGGCCTGGCCTTGATAACCGGGGCTCTGGAGTGGCATCCAGGGCCCTGGGGTTAGGCTGTGTGGGTCAGGGGCATCCTAAGAATTCACTCCTTCTACTCACAGATGAGTTTTTCCACCACCCTTTCTTGGATGCCAACGCGTCCATCAAGAAGTGTGAGTCTGTGGGTCCTGGGCATGGGCAGGGCCTATTATGTACCCTCTAGGTCTGTAGGTGGCACATGTTGCCTTGAGGGATGTTTGAGTACATGGCACACCCTGGGAATGAGGGACATCTAGCTCTGCTTCCATCCCAAGGCCATGTGTACCTAGGGCAGCCCTTGTGGCATAGGCTTGGGAAGGGAGGTGGTACTGGTACTTCCTGATGCTGGTTGCTTGTTCCTGTGGAAGGGACTGTAGAAAGTCACAGGCAGCCATATCCCAAGTGCTGGAGTGGTTCAGCAGTATGTGCACTGATCTCATCTTTCTCATAGCCCCTCCAGTGCCTGTACCTTCTTACCCAAGTTCGGGGTCTGGTAGCAGCTCTAGCAGCAGTTCTGCTTCCCACCTGGCCTCCCCACCGGTGAGTGGCTACCTGGGTTTCTTTTGTTTTCTAGAATGAAGGATGGGTCTGTAAAAATAGAGGTAGCCTCTGGTCCTCGCATGCCTCGGAAATGGATACAAATATGTGTCTTTGTGTGTGGACCCTGGCATCCCTTGGGGTTGGGCAGTGCTGGCCCTTCTCACTGAGGTGCTCAGTGACATGGCAGGTCTATGAAACATGTTTGCCTGTCTCAGTGGCGGGTGCTGACTGTGGCATTGCTCTCATCCCATGAGAAGTATGATTCATACCTGTGCTCAGCACTGCCATTTACCCTGGGGATCTAGAGCTGTGACCGTGGGTGCCTGCTGGGTGCTGATAGATGGGAAGTGGCACTTCCTTACAGGGGCACTGCCTCTAGGTCCACTGGTTTGGCTTTCATATAGAACTGAAATGCAGAGGAATGGGTGGTGAGCACTGCCCCAGGGGTAGTTTTTTCAGAAGCTGTGGGCTTCCAAGCACTGTGTGGGGGTTGGGGTGGGGGTTAAAAGAGGTGAGGAAGCTCTGCTGTGCTGGAGGGAAGATTCAAGGCCCCTTCGCTCAGCACCAGGGGCCCTTATGGCCCACACTATTTCTGGGGATGTTGATTGCCTCTGAACCTAGCTTACTAGCCTTGCTATGTCCTGCAGTCCCTGGGAGAAATGCCACAGCTGCAGAAGACGCTTACCTCCCCAGCTGATGCTGCTGGCTTCCTGCATGGTTCCCGGGACTCTGGTGGCAGCAGCAAAGACTCTTGTGACACAGATGACTTTGTCATGGTCCCAGCCCAGTTTCCAGGTCAGGAAAGCATAGGATAAGAGATATGTCAGACAATCCTGTGTTGTGTCTGAGCATGGGGTCCAGACCTGTCTCTTTGGGCAGTTGGGATGGGCTTTTAGAGCCCCTCTGCCAGATCATCTTGGTAAGGAGGATATCCCCACCACAGGCCCTTTGGAGGCCTCGTGGTCTGAGGCCTCATGACCAGGTCCTTGTATATAAGAAGACCAAAGAGACGTGTGGTATAGGTAGAATACATGAAGCAAATGGATGGGTTTTAAAAGGACTTGCCACCTCAGTGTCTACTTCTGGCTCAGACTAGTCTGCCCTGGTACTGCACCCCACAAAGCCACTTCATGAGCAAGTGGCTATGCTGTCCAGATTGCACTCTCTGGGGAGAAAAGGGATTTGGGACAGTGTATGGAGAGCCAGGTAGGCCAAGGATGGGACAGGATACCCTGGCAAGAAGCTGTCTCCTTTTCTACAGGTGACCTAGTAGCTGAAGCAGCAAGTGCCAAGCCTCCGCCTGACAGCCTGCTGTGCAGCGGGTGAGCTCCTCTGATCTCTGCTCGGGGATAAATTGGGCCTTTGGGGTAGCCAGTACCATCCTGCCTGATCCAGTCTTGTCCTAGAGTAAGGCCGTTTGGGAAGGACTAAGGCTGCTGGACCTCCTGAAGGCCCAGGTGAAGGAGTCTGGGTTCTGGATGCATCAAGTTAATATGCTTGCCTATCCCTTCTGCCACCAGGAGCTCACTGGTGGCCTCTGCTGGCCTGGAGAGCCATGGTCGCACCCCATCTCCCTCTCCAACCTGCAGCAGCTCTCCCAGCCCCTCTGGGTAAGGAGAGATGGGCACTGAGTGACCCTCAGGGTCACAGCCACACTCCCTGGTGGGAACTGTTGTGTCTGATCTTGTCTTTGATCAGACTTGGCCAGATATCCCAGCATGGATGTCCTACTGCAGGGCTGTTTATGGGTGGTTGGGCTGATGAGGGGACCAATTGAGAGCCCTGCATACAGGGCCTTCTATCAGGTTAAGTTGTGGACATCACATGCCTGGGGCCCTCATAGCTGCAGGACTGGGTGGGAACAGTGTGAAAGCCACCTTTCTTCAGGCCTGGCCAGGGCTATGGCCCTCTAAGAGTGTCTGGGCCTGGGCCTCCTCCCAGCACTGCCTAAAGTTGTCACTTTTTCCATAGCCGGGCTGGCCCCTTCTCCAGCAGCAGGTATGGTGCCTCGGTCCCCATTCCTGTCCCCACTCAGGTACACAATTACCAGCGCATTGAGCAGAACCTGCAGTCACCCACCCAGCACCAGATAACCCGGTGAGTGTTGTTAGCTTGAGCAAGAGTCCCAACACAACTGTCCTATATGTAGTCATGCGAGGTTTAGAGACCTCTTGTGCTCATAAAGCCATTGTTGGTAAATAGTTTTTGGCAGGCTGAAGTGGTAGGGAGGGGTTGGGAGCATGTTTCATGTAAGACATAGAAGGAAGCTTGGATTAGTAATTGCAGGAGCTGATCTTACTGGTAACACAGCCAGGGGAAAGCTGAGTAGCATCAAGGTAGCCCTCACTGGCATGGCTGGGGCCTCACCTGCCCTGGCCTTGTTTGCAGGTCCTCTGCCATCCGAAGGTCAGGCAGTACCAGCCCCCTGGGCTTTGCTCGGGCCAGCCCGTCACCCCCTTCCCATGCTGATGGAACTATGCTGGCCAGGAAGTTGTCACTGGGTGGTGGCCGCCCCTACACACCATCTCCCCAAGGTAAGTCTATGGGGATGGGGACTGGTGGGTACTCCCTTCTCTTTCTTGTCTGTGGGTATGGTGGGCGTGGAGACCCCTCTGCCCTTGTCAGATCAGGACACCCTCTTCCCAGTGGGAACCATCCCTGAGCGACCCAGCTGGAACAGAGTGCCCTCCCCACAAGGAGCTGAGATGCGGCCTGGCAGGTCACCACGACCAGGTATGGAAACAGCCCTAAGCCTGAGGGTTTGTGGGGCAGGCATGAAGCCTGACTGACTGCCTTGTCTGGGACCTTTTCCCTATTGTCACGGTCCCTGCTGTTAAGAGTGAAAAAAGAGGAAAGGCCATGAAGGTTTAGAACGAGCCTTTGGGTCATAGAGGGTGTCTCCTGGTTGTTGACCTTTTATGCTCCACAGCTGTGTGTCCTGGGACAGATTGCTAAGACTTTCTGTGCCTCCGTTCCCATGGAGGCCTCCTGAGGTCATTGTGAGGATGGATGTTTGTGTTCATGGAGCGAGGGGTCCACACAGTGGCTGCTCCAGAGGTCTTTGAGTGGGAGGCTTATTTGGTCTATTCTCCAGTGTGTATGGCTAAAGGACTTGAGGCTTGTCCTTGTCCCCAGGCTCCTCTGTGCCTGAGAACTCCCCAAGAACCACCGGTTTGGGCTGCCGCCTACACAGCGCCCCCAACCTGTCTGACCTCTATGTTGTGCGCCCGAAGCTACCCAAGCCCCCAACAGACCCGCTGGGAACTGCCTTCAGTCCGCCTCAGGCCAGCACACCCCAGCCATGCCCAGTGTTGCAGTCCTGCCGGCCCCTTCGTGGCTCACCCAAGCTGCCTGACTTCCTGCAGCGGAGCCCCCTGCCCCCCATCCTGGGCTCTCCCACCAAGGTAGGTAGGAATGGCTGGGCTACTATTTTTGGAAAGCCTCAAGCTCTGGTGGAGGAGATTGGGTAGGAAAGGACCAGGTCCCAGTACCCTGGATGTCTTTTGGGCTTCACATTCTGCTATCCAGGGATTGTTGAGGAAAGGAAGTTAGAAGAGCTACTTCCAGGTGGGAGGCCTGTCAGTCCTTGGTAGCTTCTCACCTTCACACCTCATAGAATAGAACCTTGTGGTCGTGCTGATGAGGCTCTGCAGGCTGCAACTGAGAAGAGAGCCTGGACTGGCCTCACGTCCTCTTTGCTAGGCCTTAACTGCTTCTCTGTTGTGATGAGGCATTTTTTGGCAGGACTGGCTGTTTACTAAGGTGTGTAGTCCTGGTCTGGAAAGAAATCTCAGACCAGGCATGATTACAGATAACCTGTAAGCCCAGTTTTCAGAGGATTTAAATATTGAGGCTTTCCTGGGCTGCATAGAAAAACTACATTTCAAAAGTGCCATAAATCCAGTTTGGCACCTCAGGAAGATTGTGTAGTTCCATCCTGCCTTAGTTTCCCTATTACAAAAAGGGGCCCCAGCTGGGTATAGTGGTGTATGCCTTTAATCCCAGCACTATGGAAGCAGAGGTGATTTTCAGGCCAGCCTAGCCCAGCCAGTGCTACATAGTGAGAACCTTTCTCAAAAAAAGGGTGTGTGTGGGGTGGCAAACAGCAGCTGCTGTCATGTTAGTAAGGGTTTGTATATAGATTTTGTGTGTATATATGTACTCAGTGCTTGGTCTTGGTGGAGGTGGGGGCAACTGGACACTGCCTCAGTTGACCCCGTCCTCACACTAGACTGTGATGTTATGAGGGCTGCCAAGCCACTGGACATTCTTAGTGCCATCCTTCCCTCCTAGGCTGGGCCTTCATTCGACTTCCCCAAGGCCCCCAGCTCTCAGAACTTGCTGACCCTGTTGGCCCGGCAGGGTGTGGTGATGACACCTCCTCGGAACCGCACATTGCCTGACCTCTCAGAGGCAGGGCCCTTCCAGGGACAGCAGCTGGGACCTGGCCTGCGGCCTGCCGAAGATACCAGGGGCCCCTTTGGCCGGTGAGTGGGGTAGGAAGGCTGTGCTCCAGAACTGTCCTGCCTATGGCTTCTAATCCAGCATTGTGTCCCATGTGGCAGGTGTTGAGGATTTGTGGTGGGCCTTGGTGACTTGTGGTCCAGCATCAATTTCCTGGTTTGTAAGGTGGAATGAATTAGAGGACTGTGAGGCTGCTTATCCCTGGCCTGAGGTGTGGTTGGGTGCAGGGATAGGGCCCTGGCTGTTGAGCCCAGAGGTACTCTCCCACACTGCTGCCTCTCTACTGGTGCCACCCCAGGTCCTTCAGTACCAGCCGCCTTACAGACCTACTGCTTAAGGCTGCCTTTGGAACACAAGCCTCAGACTCAGGCAGCACTGACAGTCTGCAGGAAAAGCCCATGGAGATTGGTGTGTGAGGGGCCTATAGGGATGGGGGTGGGGAGTCTGGCCATAGGTCAGACTCTAAGCCTGCCTTGTCCTCCAGCACCCTCTGCTGGCTTTGGAGGGAACCTGCATCCAGGAGCCCGTGCTGGGGGTGCCAGCAGCCCGGCACCTGTGGTGTTCACCGTGGGTTCCCCACCCAGTGGAACCACACCACCCCAGGGCACCCGAACCAGGATGTTCTCAGGTGAGGACTGTGCCAGGTAGAGGCAATACCCTAGAGTGGGGGTTTCTTTAGCTCAGGGCTGGACAAGAGCAGACCCCTGCTGTGTAGCCTGCTAAGGTGTTTGCATAAGGTCTGTGGTATTCTCAGCTTGTACATGGGGCAGGAATGGTGTCCAGGATGCTGGCCTCCATGTCCAGGTGCCCTAAAAGACCAACCTATATTGGCTCCAGGAGAAGCAGGGAGTCACATGCTACCTCCACAGTGAGGGAGGTGGCTGCCCTGCCTTGCTTATTAACCCTTTCCTGGATCCACAGCAGATGCGAGTACAAGTATTGGGAGCCCAGAGCACTCTAGGATGAAATCCTGGGGTGCTGGTACCTCTGGCTATTGTTTCCTGTTAAGGCATCAGAATGAGGTGGAATGTAAACTGTGGAACATCTGAACCCTAGAGGTGGAGTTCAGAGGGCCAGAGACAGCAGGGGGAGAAGCCCCTGCATCCCTAACCAGCCCTCTACCCACAGTGGGCTCTTCCAGCTCCCTGGGCTCTGCTGGCTCCTGCTCTGCCCGCCACCTGGTGGCTGGGGCCTGTGGTGAGGCCCCTGAGCTTTCTGCCCCAGGCCACTGCTGCAGCTTTGCTGATCCTCTTGCTGCCAACCTGGAGGGGGCTGTGACGTTTGAGGCTCCTGACCTTCCTGAGGAGACTCTTATGGAGGTGAGACTTGTGGGGAGATGACAGCCTTGGGGGCTTCCCCCAACTTGCTGCATAATGCTTCTGAGGGTACTGTATACCCTTCTGGCAGATCAGGTTTCTGCATGCCCTGCTGCATGCATCTGAGCCCTGACCTCTGTTGATCCTCAGCAAGAGCACACAGAGACCTTGCACAGTCTGCGCTTCACACTGGCATTTGTGCAGCAAGTTCTGGAGATTGCGGCCTTGAAGGGTAGTGCCAGTGAGGCAGCTGGGGGCCCTGTGTACCAGCTTCAGGAGAGCGTGGTGGCTGACCAGATTAGCCAGCTGAGCCGAGAGTGGGGGTAAGTGTTGCCTGTGGGGTGGGAGGGTAGTAACTGGGCACTTGCTGTCTTGCCCTCTTGCCTCTAACCTGCCCATTGCTCTTCAGTTTTGCTGAGCAGCTGGTGCTGTACTTGAAGGTGGCTGAGCTGCTGTCCTCAGGCCTACAGACCGCCATTGATCAGATCCGAGCTGGCAAGCTTTGCCTGTCGTCCACTGTGAAGCAGGGTGAGGATATGGGATCAAGGAGGTGGTACTGAGGGTGAGAAGGGAGATAAGGAAATATGGGCAGGCCCAGGCCATGCCAGGAGGAAATGGAGGGTGAGTGCACAGGGCCTGGCCCAATGCTCAGAACACAGAGGACATGGGTTCACTTGGAATTTGGAAACTGATGTTGAGCTTTACACATAGGGTTAGGGAAAGCAGGGGACTGTAGCTCTGTGGAGGATGGGATGTACTCCTACCCACATGCTCTTTGTCCACTCATGGGAGCCCTGAGTTCCAACAGGTCTGAGCTGACTAACACCTCTACCCTAGTGGTACGCAGACTGAACGAGCTATATAAGGCCAGTGTGGTGTCCTGCCAGGGCCTCAGCCTGCGGTTGCAGCGCTTCTTCCTGGACAAGCAACGGCTCCTGGATGGCATCCATGGTGTCACCGCTGAGAGGCTTATCCTCAGCCATGCTGTGCAGATGGTATGGGGCAGGCTGTGTGCTGTGTCTGGCAGGGCTTGGAGCCATTGCTCCTAGGGTGGCATAAGCTGCTGGCGGTCCCTGGGAATTTGGTATGATGCTCTACCCAGCAAATGACAAGGGCCTCCCTGTCCACTGTGTACCTCATCAGCCCAGGTGGCATCCAGCCACAGGCAAGTAGATCCCTGGTTCTGTGAGCATCTGTAACTCCACAAATCTCCCCCAGGCCCAGATTCTCTTTTCTTTTGTGCCTATCACATGACAGGGATCTTGGGCCCATCCACTGTATGCTTTGTGCTGCGTACACAAGCCACCCCTGCATTGGGGCCATACCAAACTCTGCTCTTGTCTGCAGGTACAGTCGGCTGCCCTAGATGAGATGTTCCAGCACCGAGAGGGCTGTGTACCACGCTATCATAAGGCCCTGCTGTTGCTAGAGGGTCTACAACACACACTCACGGACCAGGCAGACATAGAGAACATAGCCAAGTGTGAGCTACTCTCCCTAGCTGCCTGAGTGGGGGGTGTGGTAGTTGTGACCCCTACCTCATGCTCCCTTTCCTGCAGGCAAGCTATGCATTGAGCGGAGACTTTCGGCCCTGCTGAGTGGCATCTGTGCCTAACTGCCTGCTGCTGGCCTGCTGGGCCCTTGGAGATGGATTCCCTCTGCCACCCTATTGGGTGGGGTCTGAAAACTAGCAGACTGTCCACTGACACTGATCTGATGGTGCTGAGCCTGCTCTCCTGTCAACTCTGGCAGACACGCTGGGTGGTGGAGCTGTGGCATCAGAGCCCTGCAGCCTGGTGTAATTTTTGCTTCCTAGGTTGCTGGTATCTGCTAGTAGGTGAACATTAGGGTGCCAGGGACAGCTCTTTTGCCCACTGGGGCAGGAGTTTCTGAACTTATCCTCCCTAGACAAGCAGGCATGGCACTGAGAATTTTACCATCTGGTCTACCACCTCACTGGTGAGTGTGGGCACATGCCAACTTCAGAACCCAGGGCAGCCCCAAGGACAGGCAAGACCCTGAGACTGTTGCTGACTTCAAGCCAAAGCGAGCTTTCCTCATGGCTCACTTGCCCCATTGCTCGCCCAAGAAAAAGGGGTGTGGCTTTTTGGCCTCCCCATCTCTCTAGGAACCTCTCCCTCTGAGGCTACTCACCCAGCTTTGTAAGTCACCGGAGCACTTTATGCAGATAGAGACTGGAGAACCCTGGCCAGCAGTGCAGACTGCTGGGAACCCACCTCCTGATCCAGCTCTTGCCCTCTGAGATGCTGTACAGATGCAGACTATGTCTATGTGTATAAATAGCCCATTGTGCACCTCCACCTGTGTCTGGTCCTTGGAGGAAAACAACTGGCTTGACTCCTAGGGGAAAGACACAGTTCTCATGTTTAAATGTTTTTTAGGGAGTCAGCATAAAGCACCAAGCTTGTTAAACACAGAACAGATGTCATTGCCTTCCACACTGTACTCGTAAAATGTGTTATTTTTCTGCAGCTTAATTTTTCTTCAAAGAAGAAAGCTTTCAGATATCTAAGAGATTGCTTTGGAAGGATGGTCAGGGCAGACCACTGCTCTGAATGCTACCCATAGGTGAAATGGTGCCAGCTGTGTGGCTGAGGGTGGGATGAGGCTGTTCTCCAGGCTGCCTGCTGCAGTGTGCATATGAAAGTATGTGGCTGGCTGTCCACACCAACCTTCCCTGTGGGGTGGCAGAATGGGCAGTGCCCAGCTGCCACCCTGCCCATACAATGGGCAGGTGAAGGTAAAAAGTAACATATGCAAAGATATCACCATTGATCTTTCTTAACAGTCTGGCTTCTGTGCCCAGTGGCCCTCAGGGTCTGTGCTGAAGCTTGTCTTCCAGGCTCCAGGGTGGGCACAGGCTGGACACTTGTCTAACTTCCCTGGTCTGTCAGCTCTGCTCTGCCTATGCATACTTGAACGTATCCCTGAACGTCCAGTGGGCAGAGGTGGATTTGCAGGTCCCCGGCAAGGGTTCAGTTACAGGCCACATGCATATATGAAAACATGTGTTTTTGTAATACTTGAAATATTGCCACAGTGCTTGGGTGTACAAGAAAAGCAGATCCCCAAGACTAGCTTCCTCTCTTGTCTCCCCATGACCTCATTTGCATGTAACATGTTGTATTTATTGCTTTGAGGCCAACTGGAATCCAGAGCCACCAGGGAGGCAGGTGTAGGGGTGGCCCTCACCTGCCTCCTTGTGGCTCCTGGGTGGCCATGTATGTGTGTGGCAGGTTGTGTGGCATGAGCCAGACCTCTCCAAGGCAGTGTTCAGCCCCTGTCAATTTTCAAATGAATTGTGTGTGAGGTCCCCCCCCCCTTTTACGTTTCACTGTGTAACATCGGTTTAAGGAAATAAAATTTGGAATTGTTGATGTGGTGTCACTGTTCATCCTCGTTTGTGACTGGCTTTGGAGCCCTTCATATACCCTCAGATTGGGGATCCATCTGCGGGGGCAGCCTGTGCCCCTCAGCCAAGGTGAGTCCCATAGGGCTTCATGATATCCATGGTGGCCCACGCAACTCTGGGAGCAAATCCCAAGGCGATTCAGGAACAACTGGGTAGATTTATTGTGTTGTAGGAGAAAACTGTTCCTATTGGGCCAGAGAAGACCCTGAGCAGGCAGGGTAATCTGAGGCCATCTGAGGATACAAGCTTTCTGTTCCCTTGGAAATAATACCAGGAGTGGGTTTTGTATCATGTGGTATTTATATTTCTTGCACTGTATTCCCAGCTTACAGGACAGCTACATTGAATTTTCTCACTGTCAGCAGGAACATTTGACATGTACTCCTTTCCTTTCTGAGAGAGAGGGTATTGGAATTGCTCAGTTCATACCATCTTCCTTGGTCTGCCTTAGATCTGGGAGCAACCGGGGCTGATGGCCAGTTGTATACTGTATTCAGAGGAAGGTCCAAATCCTTTACATTGTACACCCCTCCCTTTTTTTTGAATCAGGGTCTCAGCCCAGATTGGCCTCAGATTTGCTATGTGTCCAAGGAAAACTGAATTCCTAATCCTGAGTGCTGGGATTATAGGCACGCACCATTATGCCATGCCTGGTCTCTTTCCCCCATCCCTCCCTCCCTTTTTTTTTCTCTTTAGAAAACTAGATTTGTTCTTAATTCAATCTATCTACAGTTCCCTTTACCTGTTCTGGAATTGGCCTTGAACTAAGAGATTCCCGCGTGCTGGGATTAAAGGCGTGCGCCACCATGCTGGACTCTACTATTTTTATAGGATAAAAATAACATTACTAATAAGGCTAACCACAATACTCAAAATGAAAGTTCATTGAAGAAGCAAAGTTCCAGTGGAAGTAGACTGTAGAGACCTTGACTTAAGCAGAAATGCTGGGCTCCTGCTGCCCACACTAAGGCCAAGATATTACTATGCCCAAGGAATTCTGTGGGTATTAATATACATTTTTTTTTGTCTTTGAGACAGAGTCTCTTTGTAGCCCCAGCTGTCCTGTAACTCACTATGTAGACCAGGCTGGCCTTGAACTCACAGAGATCTGCCTGCCTCTGCCTCCTGAGTGCTGGGATCAAAGGTGTGCACCACCACGCCTGGCTTGTATTTTCTTTTTTTAAAAAAATTGTTTTTATTTTTAAACTTCCCAGACTGCTTTTTATCTCTAAAAGGTGATTTACATTTTCTGTAGGGCACAGGTGAATGAATGTACACTGGGCTGTAGAACAGTAACAGGAAAATGATGGAAACCACCACGTGGGGAGTCAAGAACATAACTGGCCATCAAGGGAGGTGGAAAGTCCATTTTTGAGAATCTAGTCCCAATACTGGAATCTGCAAATGACAGAACCCTCTTCCCCCTGCCCCAGCATAAGCCTGACAGGCAAAGCCACTGCCTTGCACAACCTGAGACCTGGTAGAGGGCACTGTGGGGAGTGCAGCCACTCGGAGAAGGCTTTTAAAAACTGCTGCCCAACATTGGGAACTCTTCCATCCTCCAATCTGATCCACCATCAGAGGAATGTGGAACTGTCCTTCATAGTTGGGGACCACAGTCCAGGCTCATAGGAGTGGTCATAATTTCAATTATGCTGGTTCCTACTACTTTTCTGTCTCCATTGCTCTGTCCACATGCTTCTACTTAAAGCATTTTGGCTTCTGTGCAGCTTGAATTTCTCACTAGAGGAACATCAGTATTGGAGAAAACCATTTTTGCTTTTGCTCAAGAAAACAGATTTCATGGTCAAGGATCCAGTTGGCTTTTTTTTGGTGTCTATTGTTTTCACATCTTTCTCTATGATCAGGAGGAACAAGTGATGAGACATCTTTCTGGAGCCATGTTTTAAGTCGCCTAAGTGAAACATGAAGGTCATTTCCTGCTCAAAACTCCCCACCTTCACTGTGCCCTGGGCCAGGCCCTTGGGGAGCTCATGGTTGGATCCAAGAGGCAGGAAACAGTCCTTGCTGTCCTTGTAGCAGTCATCACCATCCACCATCTTAGGCCATTTACCCCGTAGCCCGCATCCACGCCTCACCATGCCAAGAGCCACTGTTGCAATGGCTGCTCTGGTGCCTGCACCATGCCACTGCCAAATTGGTTCTCCAATTATTTTCTTACTTGCCAAGTCCTGAGTTCAGAATTTTGTGATCAATATAAAAGCACCCAAGGTCAGGAAAATACACTGTGTGATAAGTTTCCTCACATAGTTCAGCACATGCCTTATTTGGCCGTCTTGATCTCCCAATTCTCTTTTTTTGTTTCCTTTTTGAGACAGGGTCTCATATGACCCAGGCTGGCTTTGAACTCTGACCGTCTTGCCTCACTCAGCCTAACAACCCTTCACAGAGCAATTTTAGGTTTGCAGAAAAACATGGAGGACTCCCATTTATCCAACTCTGCTTCATGCCAGTGTCTCTTGTATGAGCACCATTCATGAGGTGTGTTATTGGATAGTGGATTAACATGGAGTTCATGGTTTCTGTTGGAGCTCTTGATTTTGATTTTGTTGCAAGGGTGAAACTGTGGACCTCAAGCATGCTAGATGTTCCACCACTGAGCTGTAGCCCCTCTTTGTTACTTATTTCATGTGAGTGCTTTGCCTTCATGTATGTAAATGTATGCAATGCCCATGGAGGCCAAAAGAGGGTGTTGGATCACCTGGAACTGGAGTTACAGGTGGTTGTGAGCTGCCATGTGGGTGCTGGGAATTGAACCTGGGTCCTCTGCAAGAGCAGCCAGTGCTTTTAATTACTGAGCCATCTCTCCAGCCCCACCCCTGTAATTTTTATTATTTTTTTGTGTGACTGCATGTGTCTGAGTGTGTGTACAAACCTATGGGCGGGTGCCCATGGAGGCCAGAAGAGGGCATTGGGTGCCTCAGAGCCGGAGTTATAGGCATTTGTGAGCCACCTGATATGGGTGCTGGTATCTAAACTCTAGTCCTCATGACTGAGCAGCAAGTGCTCTTAACTGCTGAGACATCTTTTCAGTCCCTTACCTTTTATTTTTGAGACAGAACCTGGCTAAGTTGCCCAGACTGGCCTTGAGCTCATTCTGTAGTCCAGATTGGTATCAAATCTCTGATACTCTTGCCACAGCCTCCCCAGTGCAAAGATGACAAACCTGCAACACCATACCCAGGCAACCCAGGACCTATGTACAGTAAAATGCCACCATTACTGTGTGGTATGGAACAGAGCACTGCACTACAAGTCCTGTGCTACCTGCTCATTCTCACAACCACTGGAAACCTTTGGTGTCCCCTGTCTCTGCAGTTTGGCCTTCTCCAAGGAGTCACAGTCAAAATCTGGCACTTTATTTACTCCTACTGAAGGATACTTTGTGTGTTTCTAAGTCCCAGAGAATCTGTGTAAACATCCATAGGCAGGTGCCTGAAGGAAAGGATGAGCTTGAGGGAGGTGGAGCCTGTACAAAGGACATTTTAACCTACAGTTCCTACACAGATTGGTGAGTTCAGCCAAGAAGGCCAGCCTCTGGTAGCTGTATTGCCACATACATGGGGACCCTCTGGGCACCTACCACAAACTCTGTAGCCTCAGTTAACCTGGCATAGAATGGAAATACCATCTAGGACAACCCTGGTGGCCTGCAAAGAAGTGGGCTGATGTCGTCAGTTCTGAGAACAGGAAGATGGCACTTGGGTTATGTGACACACCTGCCATCTGGCCATCTTCACCTAGGCTTCTAGTAGGAGGCTGTGAATCCTGAGACCCCCCAGCCTTGATCCTCCAAGGCTCTGTGCTGGATAGTACCATAGCATAACAGAAGCTTTGAACCTGCTATTGAGGCCTGCTCCCACCTTTGGATTCCACTGATGAGCTCTGAACCTCCAAGTTCAAGGGGCAGGACTTCCAGCTGCCTGTGCTGGGGTGAAGACTGACTTTTCCCTATGGCACAGACAAGCCATGAAATGGACCTGTCTCTGGCTGGCTCATAGAGACCATCTGGTCTGGGACGGTTACCTCGGGGGTATGCTCACATCGAAGGATGAGGCCAACCTAAGCTGCAGAGCCAGCAAGGCTCTCCACAGTGAGAGGGTTCCCAAGTCCTGGGAAGGGCTTTCTGTGAGGTGCCTTCTTCAATGCCTGAGACCAGGGCAGGGTGAGCTATCTGGAGGTTGTTCAGCACATGCAACTGCCTTCTAATAGTCTTCTGTGCCCAGCTTCTTCTGTCACAACGACAGAACGATACCCATGGTTTCATGGGATTAAACTCCAATTAGTGTCTGGCAACTGGAGCGGCAAAAAACGCTAGGTCATTGATGCAAAGTCTGGGACTCCTGATGAGACCAAGCCTGCACACCACGAAGCTAGTGGTGGGCTTGCAAGATGAACTGTGTTCTCATAATGCCAGATGTCTAGCCAGGTCCCTCAAACCCTTCAAGCAAGGGGCAATAACCTGTCTGTTCCTCTTAGTAACACAGACAAAGGCGCTTACTTCCTGGGGTGAGCCAAAGGATTGAACAAGTTACCTGGGCATGAGCGGTTTTGACTGCTACTGATTCTAAGAATTCGCCCACTGGTGCATTGGTAGCCTACACGTTTTAATGAAATGGCTTCACTTTTCAAGACTTGGCAACGCCAAGCCTTTCCCCTTCCCCCGGGATTTGGTTCTGTGGGTGCTCTGGTTCAGAGTTACGTCCTGTCCTGTCCTGCTCTGAGCCCAGCTGCAGAGCCCCGCCCACTGAATCTGCCCTGCCCCGCCCGGCGCTTCGCAGGACTTTTGTCTGCATTCGGCCGCCATCCATCGCTCAACAGCTTCCGTCTTCGCCCACGTGGTCAGCTTCGGGGTCGCGGCGTCGTGAGTGGGTCGGGCGGGAAGTTCCTCGCTCCCGAAGCGCGCAGGACTGAAGATTCCTGGGGAAAGTCCGTTAGGGCACGGGAGGGGCTGCAGAGGTCACAAGTCAGCCTAGGGTTAGGGACGTGCAGGGTGGCCCAGGGCCCTTGGCCGGTCAGGGGCGCCTGCGTCGGAGTTCGGGACAGGGCAGCAGGGGCGCCAGGGGTCCCCAAGAGGTTGGAAGTCAGAGTTCAGCAGGGCTCCGGGAGGTCAGGGGCCGGCGCCTGGCCCGCGCCGCGCATGGGCTTCACCAGCCTGCGTGCTGCACTGCTGAGAGCCTGGGGCCGGTGGACAGCGCGCCCCCGCCCGCCCGCGCCCTGGTAAAGACTCCGCGACTGGCTGCCTCTGCCCTGAGTCCCCACTGCTACCCTGCACTGCTCACCTCTGCCCTGAGCCCACACTACTGCCCTGAGAGCTGCCCACCTCTGCCCGAGACCCCATTGCTGTCCTGCACTGCTCACCTCTGCCCTGAGCCCACACAACTGCCCACCCCGGACCCTGCCGAGCACTTTGTTCCTGATGATGAGCCAGACTGGTCTGCCACTATGTGAAAGTCTTCAGGGAGGGCTAAAGCAGGCAGAGTTGGGGCCTCGCCCCAGGCTTGCTCTTGCATCCCTTACCACTTTGGTTACTCATGCCTGTTTTTCCAGCCTGCCCCCCATGACTGGAAAGGAGGAGCTACCAGCCCTGGCTGCACAGCAACAGGACAGGAAGGTCCGAGGTGGCTGGGTCTGGGAGGAGACGCAACATCCGCCCAAGAGACTCAAGGGCAATGGGGATGAGGAGCCCCAACGGAAGCTGCCCAAGCGCAAAATTGTGCTGCTCATGGCCTACTCTGGCAAGGGTTACCACGGTATGCAGGTGAGGAGGGCTGTGCCCTGGACAACACCTGCCTGAGTCAGCTCCCGGCTTCCCTGATGCAACTGAGAGTGAGGCCACCCTAGGAAATGGCAAAAATAGAGTCCTCCAGTCCTGCATCTGGAAAGACTTGGGTGGCTGTCTCCCAGTATGGACAGGCCAGCTCTGTGGCTGACTCAAGTGTGACCTTGGGAGTGGTGAATCCCAGCATCTTTAGGATGACATCTACACAGTGTGAGAAGGGCAAGTTTACTGATGCTGAGAGTGGATACTGGCTGGCCAGCAGGTACTACTGGTCAAGCTTGCTGAGGGGCAGCTGAACTCTGCTTAAGAGCATTGGGGGCCCTAGGGCAAGCAGGCCTTAGGTACTCTATAGCTAACCAACTTGACCCTTTTCTGCTTTTCTGAAAGGTGCCCTGACCAGTGTGAGTACGTTCTTGTTCCTTCTTGTCACTTTTACTGTTAACAGTGCTCCCCTTTTGTTAATTTAATTTTTTAAAAATTTTATGTGTTATGTGTGTGTATTGCCTGCATGTAGGTAAGTACACCTGTGTTGCGCAATGCCCATGGAGGTCAGACGAGGCTGCCGGATCCCCTGGGACTGCAAGAATAACCAGTGTTCTTAACTGCTGAGCCATCTCTCCAGCCCCCCCCCTTTCTTCTTTAAGACAGGGTCTCATATGTAGCCTTGGCTGGCTTGGAACTTGCTGTGTACACCAGGCTGACCTCAAACTCCCAGTGATCCTTCTTGCCTCTGCCTTCTTAGTGCTGGGATTAAGGTGTGTGCCACCATGCTCAGCCTTGTTCTCTTTTTTAAGACTTAAGCCTGACCCACAGTATTGAGTTCACTTCTGTGATGTGTCTAACCAAAACAAAAGCTCAAAAAAAGTAGTGCCTGATCAGGTGTGATAGGAATTTTTTTTTGTTTTGAGACAGGGTCTCCCTGTAGCCTCAGCTGATCTGGAACTTGTTATTATAGACCAGGCTGGCCTTAGCCCAAGTGCTGGGATTAAAGGCATGGGTCACCACACCCAACTCAGCTAAGCTCTGTACTATGACAGTAAATGATAGCAGTGACACAGTTCAGAGCCTTTTTTTTTTTTTTTTTTGGGTCTTTTTGAGACAGGGTCTCCCTATGGCCCCAGCTGTCCTGGAACTCACTATATAGACCAGGCTGGCCTTGAACTTACAGAGATCTGCCTGCCTCTGCCTCCCGAGTGCTGGGGTTACAGGCGTATGCCACCATGCCCAGCTAGAGCCTCTTTTACTTTAAAAAATGCCTAGGTTGGCTGGGATGGTGCACATCCCTGTCATCTCAGCATTCAAAAAGCAGGAGGAATTCGAGTTCAAGGACAGGCTGGGCTACAGAGAGAGACCTCACCAATTAAAAAAAAGTATGTTTTCACCCATTAAACTAGTGGCTAGGAGATACTATTTGAGTCTCATGTGGCTTGTAACATTGGAGAGAACAGATATCTGTTGTCTGGGGTGACTGGTCTGCTTTTTGGAGGGCAATTCTGATTATGTAAGGTTTTTGCTATCACCTGTCTTGAGAATCTTCAGCAGGATCCTGTTTGCCTCACTTTCTCCATTAGGGAAATCACAAAGATGCCTGGCTCACAGGGTAGAGTGAGAGCTGTTGTCCCTATTTGTTACCATCTCTTTATGGCACTTGGGAAATGTTGATGACTTCATGGTGAGCCTTCAGATGAACTTTAGCACCAGTGGTAAACAAACAGTAAACTTGACTTTGGAAAGGATTTTCCTGCCAAGGGAGCCTTGGTGAGGTGCTCAGAGGCCTGCTCTATGGATGTAGTGTCTCTGTTTTGGGGATCTGTGGACTGTTGATGTCTCTGAGATTGTGGGGTCAGGCAGGAGGACCCGGGCCATGGTTAAGGCAGGCTGAGGGGTACAGCATTAGACCAGAAGCAATGGTCTGCTTCCTGGCATGCATACATCCCAATAGTTGCAAAGGCTGCTTACAGGCTGAAGGATTTAGGAAGAGCCCCAGATGACAAACCTAGCCTTGGCTAGCAGTGCTCCTGGCAGAGAACAGTGGAGAGATAAGGGGCTGACCCCAGTGTTGAATACCACAGAGAAGTGGTCCAGGCCAGGGCTGGTGCTGACCTACTCAGGTGATGCCCTTCTGTGGCTGCCTTGTCTTTCAGCCTGTGGTATGGACAGACCCAAGTAGACCCTCAGGTGACCTTGCTTTGCCTGCTGCCGGGTGTATGCAGAGCACCCAGGGCCTGGTAGGGACTCCTGAAAACAGCGTGTCCATTCTTCTTTCTCCAGAGGAATGTGGGGTCCTCCCAGTTCAGGACAATTGAAGATGACTTGGTATCTGCCTTAGTTCAGTCAGGTTGTATACCTGAAAACCATGGCACAGACATGAGGAAGATGTCCTTCCAGCGATGTGCCCGCACAGACAAGGTATGTGCCTGCCTGCTTGCCTGCAGTTTCCCTTAGCACTGTCTCACAGCCTCAGGGTATTTGTGTCAGAAGGGGCCCTGACCAGGGGTCACACCTGGCCAAGCTTGGTAGTGACTGTGCCATGGGCCTGTCATCCTAGTATTCGAGGGAAAGAATGTTTTATATTTTGTCATGTGGAGGGTCAGGAGCACAGACTGCACAGCTGGGGCTGGACCCTTGGTGGGTTGCACAAGACCTTGTCCTGGCTGGTCTTTGCTTCTCCATGGACAGCTCTTTTCCAGGCAGACTCACCTCCGTGGGCAGCATGTGCTAGGACTCTGCCTTACAGCACCATGCACGTTAGCCCTCATTGAAGTGGATAGGATTATTGGCGTGCAGAGGTGAGTGTACTTGCCTTTTTTTTAGATGAGTGCCTCTTTAAAAAAAAATTCAACTGAAGCCGGGTGTGGTGGTGCAGGCCTTTAATCCCAGCACTTGGGAGGCAGAGGCAGGCAGATCTCTGTGAGTTCAAGGCCAGCTTGGTCTACATAGTGAGTTCCAGGACAGCTGGGGCTACAGGGAGACCCTGTCTCAATAAGACAAAAAAAAAAAAAAAAAAAAAAAAAAAAAAAAATTCAACTGAGACAGCAAAAGCAATGAGTTATTGGCTGTAACTGAGAACAAACTCAAACTTTAGTCCAGAATGCCACAGTCCAGGGCAAAGGCCAAATGAGGGTATTTTGGGCAAAGCAGGTCTCTTACTATTGATCTTGGTGGTTAGATGGTAATAGAAGTTCTATGTCCATAAGACACAAATTATGAACAGTAGGCAGCAATCCAGCAGCTCTTATCAGCTAGTGTCCCCAGCCTCCCACATTCCTTAGATCTGTTGTAGCTGCCAGCAACTTCGGCCTGCTTCAGCCTGCACATTTGCTTCTTCCTCCACCTGTGCACTTGGATAGTGTGATAGTGCAATTTTTGATAGAGCTAGGTGAGGTTTAGTTTGAGAATCTGCATTGTTTAAGAGCATACACAAGATGTGCTCATTACAACATGCAGTCACTAGAGGCATCTACCAGTGGGGACTTGTCTTCACTTTCCCTGTGGGGAGTGTCTATTTTTTTTTTTAATTTTATTATTTTTATTTTATGTGTATGCGTGTATTGCCTGCGTGGAGTTAAGTGCACCCATGTCGTGCAATGCCCACTGAGGTCAGAAGAGGCTGTCGGATCCCCTGGGACTGGAGTTATGGACAGTTGTTAGCTGCCATGTGGGTACTGGGATTAGAACCCAGGTCTTCTGCAAGAACAACCAGTGTTCTTAACCACTGAGCCATCTCTCCAGCCCTGGGGAGTGTCTTTTAAAAAAATTATTATTGTGCATGTGTATGTGTGAGTGCACGTATGCACACGTGGAGGTCACAGGACAACTTTCAGGACTTAGTTCTCTCTGTCTACCATGGGTTCTAGGGATCAGGTCATCAGGCTTGTCACATATTGCCACATTTGCCCAACTCAGAGATATGGCTACATGTCTCTGATTGGCTTAGGCATTCATCCTGGACTTGGTCCCTGACTTGACCCCAGGACTAAGGTAGGATATTTGCTGAGAGGTCACATTACATTCCTAAGTTTGGGACACAGAAACCACATGGCTGAGCTTGGGTAAATAGCGCCTTATGATTGGAGTGTCCCCCGAAGGGACCTGCTGTGGATAGATGGGGGTAACAGAGCTTGAAGCACAGAGCTATTCTCTAACATATGAAAAAGCATGATGGGAGCCAGGGCATGATGGTGCAAGCCTTTAATTCCAGAACTTTGGAGTCCGAGGTAGAAGGATCCAATTTGGAGGGTTGCCTGAGCTACAGAGTGGGTTCAAGGCTAGCCTAGGCTTTATCGCAGGACTGTCTCAGAACAATTAATCAAATAGAATACTGGGTCTGCTTATGTACGCCTGTTAATCGCAGCACGCTGGAGGCCGAGGTAGGAGGACTGCCATAAGTTTGAGGCCAGATTGGTGTAAATAGTAAGTTCCAGGCCATCTAAGGCTACATAGAGAGACCCACTCTCAAAAGCCTCCCCCCCAAACATACAAACAACAAAACCCCAAGCACTCCAGGAACAAGATGCCTTGACTACTTGCCTGTATGTACTAGGTACCCTGCACAAGGTGTGTCTTAGATATGTCCCCAAGTAGAGTGCTGCTGAGCTGGAGTTTGCTGGCCCTTCTGCCTCAGGACCAGGGTATGAGGACTGTGCTGGAGGGAAAGGCCCCCAACTCACCTCTTCTCCATGCTCTGTTGTCTTTCCAGGGTGTATCTGCAGCTGGCCAGGTAGTATCCTTGAAGGTGTGGCTGATTGATGACATTCTGGATAAGATCAATAGCCACCTTCCTTCCCACATTCGGATTCTGGGTAAGCCTTCTGTAGAGCAGTTGTGCCCTGGCCGTGGGTGGCCTCGCACAGACATTTATCTTCTTTTTTTTTTTTTTTTTAAGTTTTTAAACAAATAGTTTTTAAATTTTATGTGTATGAGTGTATTGCCTGCATGTATGTGAGTATACCCGTGTTGTGCAATGCTGTGGAGGTCAGAAGAGGGCTTAGGATTCCCCTGGAACTGGAGTTAGGGATGGTTTGTACCTGCCGTGTGGGTGCTGGGAATCGAACCCAGGTCCTCTGCAAGAGCGGTCAGTGCTCTTAACTGCTAAGCCATCTCTCCAGCCCCCCCTTTTAACTTAAAAAAAAAATACTTTATTAGGCT